ATTGACATTTACAGAGGGGCCCAGCAAAGAAGCAAGAGGTAAGATAAGGGACAAGGGAAACAGAGGCTTGTTAAAGATGCCACAAGGAAGAGACAGTTACTCTCCAACGCCTTTGGAAGAAACTTTATGGGTTTGGTCTGAAGCCATTTCCTGTAGCTCTTTTCTAAAGCTCCCACAACTAACCCTCTTCTTGGTGTCTCTCAGCTCCCCTGGCCCCCAAGCCCTCAGGCCTTCCCTAGATGTCTCACCCCAGCCCCAGAGGATCCCCAACCCACCCTTACTCAGCGCCCTGCAGAAAAGCAGTATGCTGGAGGAAGGTGCTGGAGGTGCCCATGGCTGGGCCCAGGGCTCAGGAGTCTGGTAGAATGTGACCTGCATCCCGAGTCCCCAGGTTGGAGAGTTGGAACATCTGAGTGAGACAGGGAGGGACCAGTAAACAAACACATCTAGGGAGCGAACCTCAGTTGGGGGCAGGGAGGGCAGAACCCAGACTACATTCACCAGCCTGACCAGCAGTGGCCTTGGTCCTCTGCTCGTGCACCCCACATCTCCCAATTTCTGCTGAAGCCTGCTCTTGCCTTCAGGGTTTTCTCTGTTCTCTCGGCTGTGTCTGAGTTCCAGAGTTGTGTCTGTTACCTTCCCCCCTGCTCCTCTCCCTTCCCCACACTTGTCTCAAGCTGTTCTCTCTTTTCCCCTTCTGTTTATTTAAGTCTCTCAGAGTCACCCTCCAAACAGTCCTGGCCCAGATCCATTTGAAAGAATTTATTTATCAACGTGTGGTTGACTCTCCTGTGCCCCCAACTGGGGACCCAGCCCACAACCCAGGCATGTGTCCTGACTGGGAATGGAACCAGGGCGACCTTCTGGCTCACATGCCGATACTCAGGCCAGTGAGCCACACCAGCCAGGGCCCAGATCCATGTGAGTGTAGAATCAGCAACACCCCCTCCACCACCCACACAAAGACCAGCTGCTTAAAAGAGGGCCCCGGGTGACTTCAGTTCCTTTGAGACCCCAAGCCGCAACATCCCTATCTCATAATTATCTCTTCCAGTTTACCACCTGGGAGGAAAGAATTAGTCACACTTGGGGTCAGTGGGTTGGATATGTCCCCGCTGGGACGAGGTCAGTGGTGTGGGGACCACAAAGACCAGGAAGAGCCCTGGCTGGGGAGCTCAGCTGGTTGGAGCATCGTCTTAGTGAGCCAAGGTTTCGGGTCAGACTTCCAGTCAGAGCACAATGGGAAGCAACCAATGCATGTGTAGATGAGTAAAACAGCAGATAGAAGTTACTCTCTCTCTAAAAAATAAAAAGAATAAATTTTTAAAAATGTAAAGACTACGAAGAAATGCAGGGATAAGATTTGGGGGGCGGTGGCAGAGTGTGGAAGACAGGGGTTTAAGAGACTGGGGAGGAGGAAAGCCCACCTGGAGAATCGGGGCAGGACCGTCCCAGGATACAGCTGGGTGGGGTGAGGCGGGCAGAGGAGGCACATCTCTCTGGAGAGCAGCGACGCTCCAAAACTTACCTCGGGCCTCTTTATACTTCCAAATTACTGAAGGCCCCAGAGAGCTCTTCTTTGTGAGAGTTATATTAACATGTACTCTATTAGAAATTAAAACAGAACCTTTTAAATAAGTTCATTAAAAAATTAAAATATAGGGGGGTGTTCTTCACTCTTTCTCCTTCCTTCCCTCTCTTAAAATTAAAATATAAACCTACTACAGGTAAACAAAACATATTGCTGCCCCCTTCCCACAGCTCCCTCCCTCCCTCAGCACTGAGCTTCCTTCAGGCCTACGGTGTCATTCACTGTGCCCCCAACCTGCCCCCTGGAACTCAGTATCACCTTTCTCTTCACCTGCCAGTCTCTCCTCTTCATTGGCAGCTCCTGGAACAGGTGCCTAACCTCTTTTATTTTACTTCTCCAGCACCTAACACAGTACCTGGCATCCGGTAGGTGCTCAGGGACTATAACTGGCAATGGATGGTGTGGGTAAAGAACTTTTTCAACAAAGACGGCTGGGTTTTCATATCTACTTCTGCATTCAGTCTGTTAGGATATGTTCATTTGTTTGAAGTATATGAAGAAAATCTGACTTCTCACAGATATGTGGTTCGAAAAGGAAGATCATTGAGGACCCTCCAAAAGGGTCTCAGAACCACTGCTGGAGACAGAGAGGTCTGGGGACTCCGGAGGATGCCGACAGCTTTCCCCTGTGAGGGCCTCTCCCTGTCTCCATTAGGGTCCCCAGTGTGCGCGGAGGGACGCTATTTCCTCCCTTATAAAGCCCAAGGCAAAGGGGATATAAGGCTGGCAGAGCAGGACCCGAGAGGGGGTAGGAAGGAGAGGCTCCACCGACCCAGGCAAAAGGAATGAACCATGGATAGGTAGCCAATGTGTATTCTCTCTCACATCAAAGTTTCTTTCCATCTTCCTTCCTCCCTTCCCCTCTCTCTAGAAATAAATTAGTGGAATCTTAAAAAGAAAAAAACCCAACCTCGGTAGAATACTACTAACTGATCTGCAGACCTTATTCAATGTACTCCTTGTTCCAGGACCCAAACTAGAAGCCCACACTGTATTTAGCTCTCGTGTCTTCTTAGCTGCCCCCAACCTGTCACAGCTCTGAGTCTCTTTGTCTTCCGTGACCTTAACAAGGTCAGGCTTTTGAAGAGTCCTGATAAGTTATTATATAGAATGCCCCTTGATTTGGATTTATTTAATATTTTCTCACAATTAGATTGAGATCATGAGCTTTTGGCAAGAATACCACAGACATGGTGTTGGTTCTTCTCAATGCATCACATCAGGGGGATTACAATGTCGGTGCATTAATTTTGATCACTTGGTTTTAGAGACGTGGTTGTTGTTTTTTTAAGATTTTATCTTTAGCGCTGGCTGATGTGGCTCAGTGGATTGAGCACTGGCCTGCAAACCAAAAGGTTGCTGGTTTGAGTCCCAGTCAGAGCACATGCCTGGGTTTCGAGCCAGGTCTCCGGGTTCTCCCTGCCTTCCCCTCTCTCTAAAAAAATAAATAAATAAAATCTTTTTTAAAAAAGATTTTATCTTTAGACAGAGGGGAAGGGAGGGAGAAAGGGCGGGAGAGAAGCACTGACGTGAGAAACATGGATTGGCTGCCTCTCGTAGGCTCCACCCTGGGACCAAACAAGCATCCCGGGCAGGTTCCCCGACTGGAATAATCAAACTGGCAACCTTTTGTTTTGTGGAAGGATGACCAACCAACTGAACCACACCAGTCGGGGAAGGAGGTGTTTTTTAAGGGGCAGAGAATCCTTTTGGGCTCCTTGAAATCACATCTGCTCTGCCAGAAGGCAAGTCCCCCCGCCAGGAGGCTAACACCTGTCTCATTCTCTCTCTCAGCCTCGGTGACCTTGCCTCGTCACCATCCAGCTTATGTGGCAGCTCATGATTGCAATCAAGTGGAAACAGAGTTGGTGGAAGATGAGTTACACAACCCACAGGGCCTGCAGCACTCGAGCCCAGTGCAACAGGGCCGAGGCAAGAACCCTGGCCCTCGCCTGCATCTTGGCTGAAGTAGGCAGCGCCCTTACCTGGGTCTTGCCAGACTGTGGAGGGGATATTGGGAGTAGAGGACGGAAAGGGAGGAAGAGAATGAAGATCTGAGGTGAGAAGACACAAGTCCTCTCTGAGCTACTAAAATCTATCGACCTCTCAAGGGCTGACTGGAAAATTCCATCTCTTCTTTGTTTGATGGGAGAGCTAAAGGAGTAATATGGGGGCACTCCGGCTCTAATTTGGGGGTTACCAAGCATCAGTGGACTTATGATGCACTCCTTAACTGGCCCAACTCCAAAAGACAATGGAAAATGTGCCCCGTTACTCCTTGATCTTGTCTCTAACCCTAACCCTACCCCTTTCTGAACAATGAGAATCACAGAGGAAAGAAGGCTGTGGGCTGAGGGGGCTCATGAGAAATCAATAAGCGTGGTTGTCTGAGTTGGTTCTACTGTCCCCCATTTGCAGCTTAGCTCCCAATAGGACTCTTTTGAATTGAGAAAGGAATAAATGTAAGCCTGTGATAGGAAGTTCATTCAGCGCCCACTTAGTAACCAGGCCAGGTGAGGCCTGACTGTAACCTGAAGGACTGGTGCCTGGAAAGGGGGTCCTGGGTCCCATCCCTGTGCAGCTCTCCTGCCCTTTTTGGGGAGCCCTCAGACCCAGCTGCACCTGCTTCTTAGCAGTACCTCAGAGGTGTGACCTAAATTTGAGACAAGGACAGTTTCTCCAAACACTGAGCCCTGTGGCCACCCCCACACACTGGAATGGAGGACGGAGGCGGGAAAACCTGTTTCTCCATTTGCCCAACTTTCCCAGGAAACTCCCAGAAGGATTTTTGGGTAAGGGCAGGGCCTGAGGGTGTTACTTTTCTGGGAGAGGGGGCTTCTGACAATAGGTCTTCTGGCAATAAATGCACCACTTATCCGATACAGACATTTATTATTCAAAATAGAAAGAGGTGAGCAGGGGAATGGGGTATATATGGCAGCCAGGGTTTGGGGAATCAGCCCCATACACTGGGGACAGGATAGAAGCCCCATTTCAGGCTAAGATCCCAATACCACCCCCCCCCCAAGCAGGGCATGGTAGAGTGCAGGAGACAAAGTGGGGAGTCCTTCTAGGGACCGGTGGAGGATCTGGAGTAGTCTGGAGGGCAATGGGAAGGGACTTGGGAAAAGCAGAGAGGAGGGTGTGGGATGGAATGATGGGTGGGGAGACCACTGTCTAAAGAAATGTGAAGGCCCTGGCTGGTGTAGCTCAGTGGATTGAGCATGGGGGGACTGGGTTGGAAGCTTTTGATAAATAAAAAAAAAGAAATGTGAAGAGTCTGTAGAAAGATTTTTCTAAGTAAAGGGAGCTGGGGTGAGACCATTGCTGAGAGCCAGGGGATGTAGAGACATAGGGAAAGTGGCTCAGGCTAAGACAGCAGGGAGGAGAGGCAGCCATGGAGTGGGTGTCAGTGCAGCAAACAGAGGCCAAGGCCAGCCAAGGAGGTGAGGAGGACTGGGGCCAGGGCTGGGGTAGGCCAAAGGGCTGGCCTGTGGCACCTGTCCTTGTCATAGCAGATTGTGTTATAGGTCAGGCACAGCTTGCGGCTGGCTTGGTTGAAGGTGTCTCGACAGGCCTTTTCAGTAGTGCCACAGCGAGGGTTGGAGAAAACCCACATCTTTCCTGGGGGCAGGCAAAAGTGGGCAGTGGTGGCAGCAGGGATGTGTTCCCCTCTCCCCACCATGTACCCACCCAGGCTTCCTTTCTTTCCAACTCTGTCCCAACTTACCCCACTTTAAAAAAAAAAAATCTCTTTTTGGTCTAATCTTCCTCCTGCACTTCCAGGCCCTCCTCCTGATCCAATCCTGCTGTCACATGCTGACCATGAAGCTTTGGGGCCGTTACTCTCTCTTTCTAAGGCTATTTCCTCAGTATAATAATAACAGCCACATCATAAGGTTGTCATTAACATGAACTGAAACAATCCATGTAGAGACACACAGAATGCTACCTGACACATAATTATTTTTGACAAAATGTTCTCATTGCTGTCATTCTCTGTTTCATCTCAGCTTTCCTGGGTTTCAGCCCCAGAAAGTGGGGAATATTACAGAGGTACAATTTGTGGTTAGGCATTTGTGTCCTTGTTTCAGGTGGCAGTACTACTGGTTCACACAGGACCCTTGTAGCAGGAGTGACAGCGAATGTGAGCTGGGAAGTCAGGCTGAGGTGATGGGGTGTCCGACTCACCTGGGGCTGAGCCGAGCCAGCAGATGTGATGGAGAAGAGCCAGTGCAGTAGGTGTTCTGACCTGCTTGGTCTGGCAGGGATGGAGCAGGTGAGTGATAGAAAGTGGAAGTGGATGAGGGTAGAGTTGCTGCTCTATGTTGCTTTATGGATGGCCCACACACTAAATATCTTCCTCTACTCCACTCCTTCTGGGGATGAATCAGGGGAGCAGGGCTACCAGCAACAGCACCAGGTTAGGGAGAGATGGAAAGTGAGCTCCATGGGGTGGAGGAGGTGGGGAAGAAGGTGAAAGAATTCAGAAGAGGTCACAGATAGAGACTTGAAATGGGAATATTAAAAACAAAAGGCATGAGGCTACAACACATGCAGAAATGGCTTGGAACTTGAGACTGGCAAGAAAACCACATGTAGCCCTGGTTCACGTGGCTCAGTGGATTGAATGCTGGCCTGTGAACTGAAAAGTCGTCCGTTGGATTCCCAGTCAGGGCACGTGCCTGGGTTGTGGGCCAGGTCCCCACTTGGGAGTTGGGGACCACCTTGCATGGTATCAGAGACTGTAGCCCTATGCGATCAAGGCCTTGAAAGAGGCCTGTAAGTCTGGACCAGAAAGCCAGGAATGCAGGAGGCAGGCATGACCTGATACTAGCACCAAGGGCTTCTGTGGGAAATCAGGCCTGAAGAATACATTGTATCCTTTGACGTTGCTTTGCTTTGTATATATAGCCCTGTTGATATAAACCAGATGTTTAAGTTCAAAGCATAAAGAAGTGAACTCCTTATCTCATGAAGCACACCTTAACAACCATCTGACATTAGCATGTCTAACAGACCCTGACCTGAGGCAGATCTCTGTGTTTCCCTGATTGTTATCTACAGATAATTTCTGTTTTCTGTTACTATGGCCCTTACACATTGATTGATGAGCTTCGCATGCCTGGGGTAAACCCCTTCCCATACCGATCCCAAAATAGCCTTGTTGGAGAAGGGCTTGGGGCCTCTCCACTAGAGGGAATCGCCACCCCCTTTCCCGCTGGAATAACAGATTGAGTTCAGGATGACTTGCTTCCCATCTGCTTCAGCCAGGAGAGCTCGGAGGGACACTTGGGGGCATGGGAAAAGCAAGTGATCAATGTATCTCTCATACATCGATGTTTCTCTATAAAAATAAATAAATAAAATCCTTTAAAAAGTACAAGAAATATGTGAGATTGTTTTTTCAAAAAGAAAGAAAACCAGGTGTAACTAACTTTAGCAATTTATCATTCACCTCCTGAACCCTCCTGAGCATGGGAAGAGGAACCAGACCTGAATTAAATTCTCTCACCCCAGGAGCTCTCGGACGGAAAGTAACACTAGCTGGGAAACATCATCAGGTTCTGCCTGGGTACAGAAGGTGGCACCCCCCCCAAATTCCTGCCTTAGCTAATTCAAGGTTAGGGCATGCTAGGCTTGGTGAAGGAGGGATTTGGTCCAAGGGTAGAGGAACCTGTGACTGTACCTCAGTAAAACTCACCTTACCCTTGAGAGCAAGCAGTCCTGGCATTCCCTCCCTAGAAGGCTGGGAAAATCTGCTTGGTTCCCTAGGAGATTCTAAGAGGTCCAGAAAACTTGTTTCCCTGTGGGCGTGGGGTGGGGTGGGGGTGCACCCCAGGGAGGTGCGGGGGGGGGGTGCGGACTAGAAAAGGCAACTGCTTAAGGAACTGAGCGTGAAGTCCCTGATGAAGTGACGTCAAGGTGGGGTGCAAAAGAAACTTCAGGTTTTCTTCAGGATGCCTCGGTTTCTGGGAGGACAGACACCTTGCTGAGTGCAGGTGGAGAAAGGAAAAAGCGGGTAAGCTGGGTCCTGGAGACTGGTGTTGGAGTGGGGCTGGGAGGGGAATTGAATGTCAGGATTTTCAAGGAGGGAGCACCTTGGAGTGGTGATCAGGGGACCCGGAACCCTGCCTGGATAGAAGAGTGGGTCTTGAAGGTGGGGAGGAGTCTGAAGGACGAAAACGTGGGCCCTGGAGAAATGGAGCAAGGACACTGTCACAAGGAAGCCTGGTTCTGGAAGAACAGGAGAGCTCAGCCAATCGGAGCCAGGGGTGCTTGGGATCTTGAGTAGTGGGTAGTATAGGGTGATAAGTGAGGCAGGGTACAAAAGTCCTAACTGGGTGAATCAGGTCCTTGGGGCCCTAGGTGCTCACCTGAGACCCAGCAGAGCAAAGAAGATAAGGTAAGCAGCAGCAGGCCTTTCATCATGAGGATCCTGAGAATGGCAGCAACTGCAGCAGCTGACAGTAGATTTCCAGGGATCCAGCTCTGGGAGTTGAGATCTTTTTGGAATTTATAACCCCAACAGTCCTCCTTTCCCGTAGCACTTCCTTCCCCATTTATGCACAGCTGACTGAGGAAAAGACCAGGGATGGGGAGGAGCTAAAAAGAACTGGGTGGGGGATGGGAGAGGGCGATGGGGGAGGCTGTGCAGGATGGGGGGTGCAGGGAGTATAGATGAGCCATTTTGAGTCCTGGGTTCAGACCAAGATACCCCTCCTCATCCTCAGCCTACAGTCCTGCCTGCCCCGACCTCTGAAGAAGCATCACCAGAGGCCTCTGTGATATTATAGTGGCTGTGGTGGTAGTAGCTGCTGGTTCCTGGGAAATGGACAATGGGTGTGGCCCAAGATGACTGTCAATTTTGGGTTCCTTGGTGGCGGGGTGCGGGGGAGGGGCATTGATAGGGATGCAAAGCTCACCGGCAAAGATTTTTGATGGAAGGGGCCAAATTAATCTCGATTCAGCTCCCATTTGGTCTTCCTGACCCCTGCTCAGCTACAGGATTAGGGAGCAGGGTTTGTGATGTCACTAAGAGCTTCTGTGAGGTCATAGCAGAAGCATGAGCTGGGGCTGCCTGCTAAGGAGGGGCTGCCTCAGGCCCCCCAAAGGTTCTTAGGACCCTGCTCCAGCTCCACTTGAACTTGGCTTGGCCTCCGCCACTGCACCAGCTCAGTTGAGAGCTGATGATGTCCTGGGTGTGGGACAGGCACACCTGTGTACCTGTGTCTGCTCCAAGGGGCCTCTGCAGTCAAAACCTGCTGGTTTGGACAAACTGAGCTCAAATGCAAAATAGAAACAGACACATAAGAGCAGGATGACAGCTGAGGGGGGTAGAGCTGGGGGATGGGTGATCAGCAAAAAGGAAACCGGACCCATAGACATGGATAACAGTGTGGTGACTGTGAGGAGGGATAAGGAAGATAAATGGTAATGGGAAAAAAATTACGGTAAAAGATAAAAATAAAATACCACACACACACACACACACACACACACACACACACACACCACCCCTGCTGATTTTGATGATGAGACACAGTGGCTGAGAGGACCGCCTGGATACGGAGATAAGAGGTAGAGCTAAAATAAGACTAGAGACAGTCATGATAATAGCAAGCACTTCCTGTTCTGTGCCAGCCATTGTTCTGTGCATTCACAGTGTGTGTATTTCTCACAATCCTCAACATAGATAGTTTTATAGATGAACAAACAGGCGCAGAGAAGTTAGGCAACTTGCTCACATCACAAAGCTAGCAGACAGTGAAGTCAGTATTTGAACCCAGACGGGATCCAGAATTTCTGATGTTGCTGCCTGCTGCGTTGCGGGAGTTAAAGTCCGTGAAAATGCTTGTGTAAACCGCTCAAGCACGAATTGTATCTTTGGAGAGCTGTGAGCTTGCCGGCCAGTATTCCCAGAGAGATCCGGGCAGCTGGTGGCCCCGCCCCCTCTCTTATCGGAGCCCCCAGACCTGCCGACCCCCGCACCCCGTTTCCCTCCAGTCTCCCCCGCTGATTCACTCGCCTCCTCTCCTCACCACATCCCAGCCATGGCCCTAGTTCTGCCGCTGCTGCCACTGCTGCTGTCGAGGGCCCAAGGGGACGCCTCGGGTAAGGCGTCCCTGGGAAAGTCGGGATAAACCAGGAAAGACTGGGGGGGGGGGGCAGGATTGGGAAGTGGGCTGTGTGTGGGAAGCTCCAGGACCAGGATGGGGGGGACAGGCGAGGGGAGAGGAGACGGGAGGGAGGAGGAGTCCTCTCGCCTGCGGGCTTGCCCTAACCACTGCCCCCGGCCTTTCCTAGTTGTCTTGGACGGCCGCCCGGGCGACCGGGTGAATCTCTCCTGCGCGGGGATCTCGCATCCCATCCGCTGGGCATGGGCGCCTAGCTTCCCAACGTGCAAGGGCCTGTCCAAAGGACGCCGCCCGATCCTGTGGGCCTCTTCGAGCGGAACCCCCACAGTGTCTCCAGTTCAGCCCTTTGCTGGTCGCCTAAGAGTCTTGGACCCTGGTATCCGGCGGCTAGAGCTGCTCCTGAGCGCGGGGGACTCGGGCACGTTTATCTGCAGGGGCCGTCAGGAGGACGAGAGCCGTACAGTGCTTCGAGTGACAGGGGATGGGGCCGATTGCAGGGCTCCAGGGCCTAGCCAGGGTAGGTCGAAGCCTTCTTTCACAGGGGGCTAATTCGGACACACATCCCCGAGGAGGAGGGGGGCCTTGGCTGGGGATTCCTGAGCTGGAGAGCTAGCTGTCTGTCTTCGCATCAATGACCTCAGCATTCACCACCCCCTTCTGCTGTTGCTCCAGGGTCCGTGTATCCCCAGCTCCTGATCCCACTGCTGGGCGCCGGGCTGGTGCTGGGACTCGGAGCGTTGGGCGTGGTCTGGTGGCACCGCCGGTGAGCCGGAGGGGCGAGACGATAGGCGGTCGGGGCAGGGCCAGAATTTTCACGGACGTACTCCTCACTTGGAGCTCTGGGGTGTGGCATGGAGAACGGGGGTCAGAACTTGGGGGCGAGGCCATAAGCTAGTGGGTGGAACTACTGGCGGGATCAGAGAATGGGCGGAACTGTATGCAGTGGTTCGCCTAAATTGTTAAGGGGGTCAGAGCCTGAGAGTTGCAGGGTCGTTGGTGCGAACTGGAGCAGAGAACAAGGGTGACAAGACTGGTGGCTCTGAAACACTGTATTATATATTCCTTACAGGCGCTCACCCCGGCACCCACTTCGACCCTTCCCCAGACATGGTGAGCCCGGCCCCAGCCTTTTTTCCTTCTACTCATACATTCCCCGCCCCTCAGTTCCTGAGTCTGAGCCCTTGCTGGGAGCAGACAAGTTGGTCACCTTCTCTCAATCCTTCAGCTCTATCCCCTCCACATAGCTCCACTAGTAAAAGCCGAGCCCCAGAGGCCAGTAAAGGAGGAGGAGCCCAAGACTGCAGGGGACATGGACCAGGAGCAGGTAAGGGTTTGGGGATGGGAAGGAGACTGGCCAGAATGCCTGAGAAAGGTGGACCAAGAGAGACAGAAGCCAGGATCGCCAGTGAGTCACACTTGAGACACTTCCGCCTTCCTCCCCATCTTTTAGAACCTGCTGTATGCAAACCTGGATCATACGGCCCTCAGAAGACCCCGCCAGTTGCTGCCAGTGGTCCCTGCTGATTCCTCCACCATCTATGCGGTTGTAGTCTGAAGCGAAGCCCTTACTCCAAACATCAGAAGCATGGGGGTTCCCTATAACTGCCCTCTCCTCTGACTCTCCCAGGAAAAAGGCAACCTGGGGTAGAAATCAGCACTGGCCTGGGAGTCAGGAAGCCAGGGTATCTCTGCCACTGGTCTTGCTCCTTCAGCTAGGAGCAAGATCCCCGTCAGCCAGTCCTAGGTAGTTGTCTCACCTCTTCCCTTCCTTCCAGTCAAGCTCTTTGAAGCAGGGGCTTACACTCGTCTTCTCCATTTTCTTCTCCTTCACTCCACTCCTATGAGGTTGCCAGTGATGTCCTAATGGCCACATCCAGTAGACATTTTTTAGCATTCATCTGGGTTGGTCTTTTATTACTCCATTCTTTAAGCTGTTTTTCTTTAATGCTAATGTCTTCTTTCTGGACCTTTCTTTCTCCTTACCTCCATGGTATTCTTCACCATGCTAAGTTTGTCCCTTTCTTTACCTGCCTTCTTCCTCTTCTGGGAAGCTGTTGTCCACAGTGGTCTCAGCCCTCACCTTGGCAAATGACACGCAAAATCCTCTCCAACTCAGATTTCGGATATGGCATTTTCCAAACTGTCCCTCAGACATCCCTGCCTACCTGGCCCTATGCATTCTGCACACAGCATCTCCAAAACTCAGTCACGTCCCAAACCTCTCAGTCCTCCTCTATTCTCTTGATCAACACTGTTGGCCCAAGTCAGAGACTGAATCAGGGAGTGAGACCTCCTTCCCCTCTCTCTTACACAATGAACCAAGTCTTGCCATTCTGTTTTAAGGTCACTGTCAAATCCACACCGTCTTCATGCTCAGCACTGCCACCTGAATGTACTCTCATTTCCTTGTGTTACCTGTACCCCCACTTCATCCTTCTGCCTTTGTACCCTCCTCCCTAAAGCCAGACAGATCTTTCCCCAATACCAACCTGCTTCTGACAGCCTTATTTCAGATCTGTAGTATTTCTTTCCTTAACCTTCAGCTCTCTGCCTGTTCTCCAGGCCTATTTCTGTCATACCACACGTATACAACATGCTAGCCTTAGAGAAATTCTCCCCAGGCCCCAAATGTTCTATGCCTTTGCCCAGCGCAATTCTTTTTTCATGGATTACCCTGTTCCCTCTTCTCCACTACCTGCCTTGACTCTTGAGTGTAGCTTCTGGGAAGCCATTTCTGACCCTCTTTGCCACCATGCATATTTTGATGCCCTGGGAGTCCCCTTATATCTCTCATCAGCAGTGAATTGGCCCTGGCTGGTGTAGCTCAGAGGATTGCGCGAGGGCCTGTGAACAAGAGGATCACAGTTCGATTCCCAGTCAAGGCACATGCCTGATTGCAGGCCAGTTCCCAGCAGGGAACCCACGAGAGGCAACCATACATTGATATTTCTCTCCCTCTCTCCTTCCCTTCCCCCCTAAAGATAAATAAAACACACACACACACACACACAAAACAAAAACAGTGAATTGTTCCATCACAAACTGCTCAACAATTGAGTTCCTTGATCCTTTTCGCATCACTGCTAGGTCTCAGTAAATGAGTGAATAAAAATGAATACGCCGCAAGTGTCATTTCTTCCTATCAACTAGGGATGGGCTGGTAATCTACCAGTCTCTGAATCATCTGACATTCAGATAAATTCAGCAAGAGATCCATCCATACTCTCTACTCTCTCTTTTCTGCCCTGTACATGCTCTCCACAGTAGAAATTCTGTCCTGTCCAGCTTGCGCCCAGGTACCTATGACACAGGGCTGGGCGATGACTCAGTAGGTGCCTAATGAGTGTTTGATGAGTGGAAGAGCCCTCCTTCCCAGCACTATTCGCCATCTTAGGTTTCAGCCCTGCTTCTGTCCCTCTGCCCCAGCAAGAGACTAGCACAGCCCAGTCTGAAAGTTCAGTTCTATTTTATTAGTTCTGGGAGAGTAGATTCAACCAATGGCCTCTATTTTTTTCCTCGCACTATGCCCTCCCCCTCTCTTGGGGCCCTCTCCCCATATCTATTCACCATCCTGTGTCTAACCCTCCTTCCCCCTCCATTCCCTACGCTGCCCTGCCCCTGGTCAGCCAGGATCCCAAGGCCAGGCCCTCAGCTGTGGGGACGTGTGCTAAGCACCAGGCAGAGGGAGCTGAGCCCAGCACCTGCCTTCTCCAGTTCTGAGCAGGACACAGGTACCGGGGTGACGTCAGAGAGCTTCTGCAGTGCCTGCAGGGAAGACATGGAGTGGGGAGATGGGAGTGAGACCCTGAGGCCCCCCTTGCAGGCAGCTCAGAGTGGTCCCACTCAGGCTTCTAGAGAAGGTACCCCTTGCTGCTCCTACTAGGAAGGCCTGAGCCGCCTTTCTCTGGTTGTTGGTAGTGGTGGAGCTCCTGCCTTCCCTCACCTCTTGGCTGTTGGGCAGGTCCCCCCCTCCACGGTGCAGGAGGAAAGGGGGCGCACCAGGCAACCCAGGACGCAGAAAGAGACAGTCAGCGGCTGCATCATCTGGGAGGGTCAGGGAAGCATAGGGGTGGTCCGTCAACACTGCCATTGCCTGGTGTAGAGGAAAGAGGCAGCATTCAAGTGTCAGAGCCTCTCCACAGCCGACCCTGGCTTCCCTACCACGACTAAGGGATGGGGACGGTCACACTGGCAGAATAATAATGACACAGCACTATGTGTCAGGCGCAGTTCTAAGCGCTTAAGCTACCTTTGGTAATTTGCACCTCCAAATCACAGGCAGTCCTTGCCACCTGCCTTTTCACCCTTTTTTTTCTTTCTCCCCTTCTTCAGCCCCCACCTGTCGGCCCTAACCATCCTTCAAGTCACAGCTCAGATGCCACCTTTGGAGATTTTTGGAAGACTGTAAATCGATCCTCTTCCCTGATTTCCCAGCTTCCTGTCAGGTTATACTTCTTGTTTTCTCGAATTTTTCATAGTAGATAAACAGCTCCGCGAGGGGAGGGGCTGGAGCAAATTCTCTGAGCCTCCCAGCCTCGCCTTTCAAGGGCCGTTCCCCACCCTAGCCCCACCCCTCCTCACCCTGACTGCCTTTTGGGCAGCATCGCTGCTACCGGCCACCACAGTGTGGGGTCCCCCCATGCCGCAGAAACTGCGCAGGTGGGAGGGGCTTGAGACTGGCACTGTAGAGACTGCGAAGTCCTAGGCGAGAACAAGGAAAAATATTCAGGGACACAGAGAGGTGAGGGAATACCCTTAAACACCTGCTGTCAACCTCTTCTTCCTCCTCAGTGTCCAGCTCCCCCCTCCCAAGACTAGTCTCACTCCTCACCCGGAAAGTGTCTGCCACTATCTCAGCTCCTCGGTGATTGGTCCATTTGGAGAGGCCTACGAAAAACTCCCGGCCTGAGCCCAGGGTGGCCGAAGAGGTTTAAAGGCGGAGGGAATGAGTTGGAAACAAGGCCAGAGATGGCCTGGTCTCCCAAACTCCACCTCCCTGTTTGTCAGGCCCCAGGGATGGGCACCCCAACCTCACCGGTGAAGAGAACATCAGTGCCATCCAGCGTGGCGTTCTCATCCCCCATCTCCACAATTCGGAGCCCCAGGTCCTGAAGGGCTTTACGAACTCCATCCACCTTAGCACAAGAGAAGAGGGAGCAGAGCAGAGACATTCCCACCCTCAATTCTTCCCTAAAGCCTCAGATGTCCAGCTTTTCTCTTTCCCCTACTCCCACCCCACCCTAGAGCTCACCTCTGGCCTGCGGGCAGGACTCCAGGGCCTCGTGATTAGGGCTGTGTCCCCTTGGATCACAGCGGTGTCACCGAGCAATGTTCCCAGCGGCAGTGACTCTTCAGGAGGCAGTTCAAGCAGCTGCAGCCCCAATCGCTGCCTCAGTTTACCTCCCAACACCCCATGCTCCCTCTGTGCTTTAGCCAGGTCCAGAGCTGGGAGGCCAGCCCCCGCCCCCTCCCCAGACGCCAGGCTCTCCGGGACCCCGCGGATCAGGGCATGGGTGCAGCGGCCCAGCCCTTCCCCAGATGTCCCCATCCCATCCACAGATGCCCCTTCCGGCCAGCCGCGATGATTTCTTAGTTTCCTCTTTTTTGTTTCGCCTTCTAGGAGAAGAGACAGAATGGGGGGAAAACAGAGACATGCAGAGAAGGGCATAGGGAGATGACTAAGAATGCCGAGGTCTTCCTCCAGCCATCTCTGGATGCCTGTCCCACTCCTCTCCACCTTTTCCAGCCCTTCCTATGCTGCCCACCCCAGTCCACCCGCACCCTAGAGGGTCTGCTTCTTTAGGGGAAGTCCGAAGACCAAGACCAGGATCCCCTAATCTCCAAAACACCTGTAGCCCCTGCTCCGGGGTGGGGTGGGGGCGGGGTGGGGGGCTTGCTTCGTGAGGCTCCAGCCGGGGCGCCCCTCTTGGCAGCCGCTAGGATGCGCTCACTCCCCAAAAATGCAGTGGCCCCGCCCCCTTAACCCTCCGCTGCTAGTAGCCGTACCGTTTGGAAGCGCGACGAGCGAGTTGTGGGACTGGAGACAGCTGGGGAAAGAGGGCCTGGGGAATGCAAGTCTTGCATCCAAACGAGAAAGGGAGAGAGGGACAAGAAGGGAGGAATTAGATAGAGCCTAAGGAGTTAAACAACCTCTCCACCCTAGAGAGTCACTCGGCTCCTAGCGCGACCCAGTATAAACCAGACCGAGTCCCGGAGGACTGGGAGAGGTCTAAACAAAATCCGAGGGGCGGGGGAAACAGGAGGCGTGGCTCTGGGAAACGGGCGCCACTCCAGGCTCCAAGACCTGGTGGTGGTCCCTTCTCTGCTGGTCTATCTTAATCGAAGTCCACCCCATTCAGCTTCGCACCCAAATGTCGGTCCCCTGCACTTTGTCCGGCGCAGGCACGGCCCCAACACAGGACGGGCTACACCTCCCACTCCAGACTCACCTCCAGCAGCCACCCCTACTCCTGCTGCTGTGTTCTTGGCTGGGGTCCCAACCCCCTTGAGAACAGACTTGGCAGACAAGGGTGCTTGTCTTCAAGCCTCGGGGACTGGAGTTTTGGCCTTGAGGAATCCCCGGTGGTCAGCGCAAGTAATACTGTGGGGCGGGGGCGCGACGGTCTGGCAGCTCCCGGGCATTGTCTAAACGGGACAGGGCGGGGCTCCCCGAGGCCACGCCTACACAGCTCGGCGACGCCGCGCTCTCCCTTCTCAGAAGTTGGCTCCGCCCGATGAGCAATGCCAGGGCCCACCCAGATATGGCCGCCCCTTAAGGCTGGGCTACAAATGCGACATGGACTCAAAGAACCCACAATGGACTGACAGTAAAGGTAAAAGTCAGCGCAAGCCCCCCTCTTCCACATTTCTGGTTTCTGCCCTGAGCTCAAGGTCACCCACCGACCGACCCTTCATTCCTTATTAAACACGTTTCAAGCCCCGTTTGGGTAAATACAACACTAGATTTTCATTGTGTTTTATTACTGAAATACATTGTCCTACCCATCCCACCCTACCCACAATAAAAATCTCACCCAGGTCCCCCATTCCTTCCTCTCTTCCCCCCAGGCAGTCCTGCACAAGTGCTCTAGAATTCACTTCCTACTGGACATTTTGCATTGTGCCCATTGGGTAGCCAGTTGGAAACTGCGTGGGGGCCTTTGTGGAGAAAAACGGAGGGGGCGTGATGGAGCCCCAAGGGGAGCTTATTTGAGGGCCTTGGCCACTTGCTCATAGGCCAGCTCGATCTCCTCATCATCCGGACAGGTGGATGCGAACTCTTCCCTCGCATACGCACTGCGCAAGTACCGATGCACGCCCCGGAACACCTCAGGGATGGAGAATCCCCGGTACTTCTTACACACAACCTAGGGGTGGGGAGAGAAGGTCCAACATATATATTAGTCTCGAGGAAACCATACTGGGCAGCCTCGCTGTGGTCCTTCTTTTATCCCAAGGTCTGCCTGATAAAACCCAGCCTCTTGTCCAGGCATTCTAGCATCTCCACTGTCTAGCTTCTTTTCCTATGATTCTTATCTCCCGCAGGAATCATCATCTTCAATCACCTTTCTTAACTCCTCACTGTCTTATATTATATTGTCTTTACCTTTCCTTTCTACTTACTGATAACCAGACCCTTTTCAGACCTCCTCATTCCAATGGTGCTACTTTTCTCCTTTTGGTTTTATTGAGATATAACTCACAAACCATTACATTTTTCTCTTGTATTTCCAGAGTGACTTTTCTATTTTTCATTTGGGGCAAGGACCAAGTATTATACAACTTTGTCTTTTGGTGTTCAGTACAAAGTTTTTTGGCAGACTGACATCGTGCCCATGTTTCACAAACTAAGACCATAATTATGACAAAAAGATGGGAGCCAACAGTTTTTATCTTCCACAAGAGGAAGCAGAAACTGAAGCTATGAAAAATTAAAGCTCCGATTTTAGGAAAAGCCTGCTCTGTCTGATCTGGAGTTTGGCAGTGATAAAGACAGGAAGAACATTCTTGAAAGTAATACTGGGATGTGTTACTCTTGGCCAGCCGATTGCACCCACAGCTTATATCATGGAATGCTAATCTCTAAGCAATGGTTTTGCCAGCAGTGATTGCTGAG